ATAACTTGATCAACACGTCAGAAATACAAGATGCCGTGGTTTAGAAATACTTGTATATAACATGTTATGATATAAGAAATATTTGTTTTCAATCAGATTAATTTAGGTTTAAATTTGCTAATTTTCCCCAAACGTTTCAGAAACATATGCTTTATTTTTACAAGATTTTTAAAATCAAGAATAAACTTTTGTTTATAGATGTGTGAAAACGGCCAATCTCATCGATTTTACTGAAATACACCACAGCGTATTGGGCTTACTGGAAATAGTAAATTTTAAATCCTATAGCTTTCAATTAAAGCTAAAATGAAAGCTTCAAGATAGCTTTTTCATTTTTAAAAATTCATTTTAAACCTTATGTATATCAAATTAGGGAGATAATATTATATATATATTCACGGATTATATTTTAACTGTTAAAATGAGAAATAGTTTGTTGTATGTATGTTTTATAAAATGTTTTAATTTTTCGAAACACGATCAAGATATTATGTTCAAAGTTAATATACAATCCTTGAAAATGGTTGAATGTATAGCCGAAAGCGCTCGGATAAAAAAAAAACATTAGGACAGTTTTCATATAATTTAGCATCCGAAAAGAAAAAAATATTAAATTGCATGAGAAATTGTATAAAAACTAAATAAAAGCACCTTGGCTGTCAATTTCAATGAAATGTGCATAAAAGAAGGATTGCTGCCTAAATATACAAATCTTATATATATATATATATATATATATATATATATATATATATATATATATATATATATAAAGAAGCTTTGTATAAAAAGAATTTAAAAGGTCTGTTCGTTTAGTTTTTTATTCTATGTTCACAATGTTCACATAAGGTGTTGAGTATTATGTTCAAAGTTCTGGATAAACTGTCCTAAGTTCATATTTTGTTATTTTTTGACCATCAGTCATTATAATGAACCAATATGGTAGAATTCATTTGTTTACATTTTGATATTCTTCGGAAAGTTGGAAATCTCTATCTATAAAAGGCAGGATATGTGTATGTGTGTGTGTGTGTGTGTGTGTGTGTGTGTGTGTGTGTGTGTGTGTGTGTGTGTGTGTGTGTGTGTGTGTGTAATGAATGCACGGCCGCAATTTTCGACGGATTTGCACCAAAATTTACATGCACATGCTCCAAGTTAACGGGAAGGCCAAGACTGACTTTGCATTTCCCAACTCCCGTCGATAGCAGAAATAATCGATTTTACATGCTTCTACATAAGTTTTCATGTACTTTGCGGCCATTTTCTACTGGCCAGAGTGAGAGCCAATAGCTGGCTGCCACGAATAGGCAGGAAGATTCTATTGGCCAGCGTGATAGCCAACAGCTAACTGACACGAATGTTAACTAGCATGCTAGTATGCAAAAAAAATCGATAGCGGCATTCGTCACAAGTGGGAAAAATTTAAATCTGCATGGCTCTTTTCTACTCCAATTGGCTCATTCGCTTGCTTAAACTCAACGTTGATTCTGATTCCGCAGAACTGTGTTGGGTATAAAAAAGTATTTGTTGTTAACATTCTTTTTTCATTCGGTTTTTCCAGTTACGAGTCCTTTTTTAAAGCTGATCATTTTGTGTTCATTTTGTTTAGTTCTTTTTCGTAGCAGATTTAATGTTTACTATAGAGCTTAGAAAAAATCGCAGTGAGAGATAGGCAAGAAGTAAGGCATGTAGCAACATCAGCACGGCAAAGGGCACTCCTTTAAAGGCAAGGAAGGGTAAAAATATTTTAAGTCAAGTGATAGCAATTGCTGTATGAGTCGTACGATTTTTTAATCAAGCACGGGCAACGCAGGGCCATGCTGCTAATTTATATATATATATATATATATAAATTATTTAATAAAACAAACTAAAGCCTGCATTCAGAGTGCCATTCAACTAGCTTTGCTATCCCTGGGTGGTTCTACTCTCCCAAGACGTGGCACATTATTGGCAGATAAATATGTCTCTGGTTTTTGAAGGTTTCCAAAAATTGAATTACTTCCCATGAAGAGAATTTTGTAGGGATCAAAACATGTGGTAATTCGAAGGTGCAAGTTCCAGTGTGCACAATGGATCTAGCAGAACCTCCCAGCCAAGTTATTTCTGCCAAGTCTGTAGAGAGATATGAGGTATGGCGTTGTCCTGGTGGAAGTTGATATTCCTTCCATTTTCCCACTTCTTATCGACCCATCTAAAAACAGAAGTTGGCTGAACTCTCTGCCTTTTTATGGAAGAAGTTGGCTGAACTCTCTGCCTTTTTATGGAAGAAGTTGGCTGAACTCTCTGCCTTTTTATGGAAGAAGTTGGCTGAACTCTCTGCCTTTTTATGGAAGAAGCTCGTCCAAAATACCTTTGCAATCCCACCAGATTGCAGAGTAGCTTTTTCAGTGGTTTACAGTGGTTCATTTCTGCTTTCCTCGTGACGTTCTTCGCTTTACATTGTTGTAAGCAATCCCTTTTTCATCGTCTGCAATCATTCTTTTCAAATATAGGTCTGTTTTGGAACGGTTAGTCAGAAAATTGCAAATGAAAATACGGCCTATTATTATTATTATTATTATTTATTTATTTATTTATTTTGTTAAATCGTATGGTACACAAACATCGTAGCACGTATCAAGGTGTTTGCAAATCCCTTACAACGATCATTTGAGGTATGGGGATTATCTCTGCGATGTCCCGTGTCGTATAACAAGGATTATTTTTAATCGGTATTTCGATTTGGTCATCCCCAACGATTGCAGACCTGTCAGAATGTTCTCGGTTTTCGAGATTAAAATGTCTACTTCTGAATATAGCAAACGACATACGAACTCAGCTACGACACCATCTTCACAAAAGGCAAATATCGTTTTTGCTGTGGCAACAGAATTTTTTGTTTGCATTTCTTCCTTCCTGGAAATAAAAACGCATAAAATAACTCAAATGCGTTTCATTTTTGTCCATTTTCCCTTTTTAATGAACTTTTAAAATTCACAAAACACATCCGAATCATACGGGAGGGCGCGTTGCAATCTATCTATCTATCTATCTATCTATCTATCTATCTGATTGTCTTCATGTCTCTCGGATTCTCTTTATATTTATCTATTTCTGTTTATATCTATCAATTTCTGTTCATATCTATCTATCTATCTATCTATCTATCTATCTATCTGTCTGTCTGTCTATCTATCTATCTATCGGAAAAGTCTTAGTATTTCTTATACCATTTTGTCTTGTCCACAGAAATGTTATGGGATTTTTACGACATGGAAAAAAAACTCTTTTTATAAAGAAAGTTAACATTAGCCAGAAAGTGTCTTAAATTTTAGATATAATGTAACAATGAAAGCAAAATCATTTTGCTTTAAAGTATGAATATGTCTCCTAATTTTTGTCTCGTGTGGAACGAAATCACCTATTTATGGACTTACACTATGAACTTTTATTGTAATCTAATACATATATATTTCGATATCTTTATTAGGCACATTATTTCATTTTCAACACTAGAAAAGCAGCTTGCACTCCTACAACAAAAAAATTCATAATCCTACACTCTAACACATTGTCTAAAAAAACTTGTAAATAAATTATTTATCCCTAATACTAGAATCTTTACTACCACGTCCAAGACTACCTGCGATATAGTTAGGAAGAAAAATACATCCAAAACCAATTCAGATGCTCGTACTTATCAAATAAAGTGTTTACAATGTAAAAGCTGTTACTTCGGAGAGACATCACGAAATCTAAAATCCCGTATCTACGAACATAAAAGAGACTTACTTTTAGACAATCATTCAAATTCGCGCGTAATACGCAGAAAGAAAATTGGCCATAAATTCGGTTTTCGAATGCCACCCTAATTTTAAAAAAAAGAACCTAATTCTCTATGTCGAAGGTACTTGGAGGGATTACTAATAAATATATTACCAACTATAAATGCAGGTAAAAAAAAAAATATTACACCAGTAACATTTTTTAAATCCATTATTGAAGAATCTAACCGATGTTTTTATCTAAAACAAACGAATTATAAGTAGAAATGTTGCCAACGTTCAGTGGAATCTCATATAGACGAAGTCGAATTATTGTACGCTTACATACATAAAGCAAATCTAACGGCAGTCCGGTTAGGTTTGGAATTCGTTAATTTCTTGGAATTTCGAATGGACGTGTCGTCTCTCCTTGAATTCCGAACGCCACAAATTATACTAACGTTAGTTTAACAAGTCGAATACACGTGAAACATGATTAACCAATGTAAATGAACATAAAAATAAAAATACCAGAATTTCTCCTTTCTTTTTCTCCATATCTCATTCTCCGATGAATCTTTAATAAATGTGACGGATGTTAGATCGGTAAACGTTTCCAATTTGTTCTTTATCTTAATATATATATATATATATATATATATATATATATATATATATATATATATATATATGCAAAACAGACACGCACACATATATATATATATATAAACTTTTTATTTTGCAATCAACACCATCATTTGACAAGACACATGTATTGTTGAAACAAAATGGGTATTTTTGTAGTGATGTTATAACATGATTATGTTGTAATTTATATATATATATATATATATATATATATATATATATATATATATATATGTATGTATATCTATTATATAATTATCTATGTTATTATATTTTTTACTATTTATATTCGTCTGTTCTTATCTTTCTATCTGTCTCTCTAAGTCATTATCTATCTATCTATCTATCTATCTATCTATCTATCTATCTATCTATCTCTCTATATATATATATATATACATATATCATTCTGTTCTTATCTATTTATCTATCCCCCATACATATATCTATATATATCATATTCTCTTCATATCTATCTATCTATCTATCTATCTATCTATCTATCTATCTATCTTTCTGTGTATATCTATCAATTTTTGTTCATATTTATTCATTTGTCTATCGTATCCTGTTCATATCTATCTATCTATCTATCTATTCATCTATCTATCTATCTTATTCTCTTCATATCTATCTATCTATCTATCTATCTATCTATCTATCTATCTATCTTATTCTCTTCATATCTATCTATCTATCTATCTATCTATCTATCTATCTATCTATCTTATTCTCTTCATATATAGCTATAGTATTGAGTATATGAATACTTTTTCCACTCATTAAAATGGATAAATGGGTTTTATTTCTCTTAAATTCATTTTTTCTGCTTCTATGCATATGTATTTTTATACATGTATGTACAGTTAATTATATAAAAAGTATGTTTATTCATTAGTTGTAAATAAATTCAAAGTTGTTATGTGAAAGAATATATATATATATATATAGATAGATAGATAGATAGATAGATAGATAGATAGATAGATAGATATAAAGAGAATATGATAGATAGATAGATAGATAGATAATCCAGGACCTTAAATTTACTCGAAAGATAAAAACATGCAGAACGAACCCATTTTGTAATTCTTTCTTAGAATTTTCTTTTTGTAACTTATCTTGTTATGATTGCTGTATATTTTTTTTTATTTTTGCTCACTAAGCAGAACGCGTTCTACAATGCCGAAAAAACCCTATTTTGCAAAAGCGGTAAACAGAGCAACGCCTCCATCCCCTTAAAGCCGTCCTAACCCACGAGACGCCCACATGTAATACGAACGACCTATCGATTTCCATGTGTCTCAACACCTGCCCACATTTCGCGCGGTTTTCTTCAGATAACTTCCGAAGCAAGTCCAATTCACATGACTCTTCTCTCTGTCTTTTTTCGCCTACTTCCAAGAGACTTCGTCTCACATCTCCGGGCTGTGTGATTCATATATAACTTTCAGAATTTCATTAAATTTTACTGACGCTCTTAGAATAGAATAAAAAATGGAGATTCAGCTCAAAAAACACAGGATTCAGAATCGGTAGATAGACTTCGCTCTATACGCTGATAAACATGAGATAGATAGATAGATAGATAGATAGATAGATAGATAGATAGATAGATAGATAGATAGATAGATATGAAGCGAATTACATAGATATGCAGAGAATAAGATAGATAGATAGATAGATAGATAAATAGATAGATAGATAGATAGATAGATAGATAGATAGATATAAAGAGAATCTGGTAGACAGAAAGACAATCGGATGGACAGATAGATATGAAGAGAATAAGATAGATAGATAGATAGATAGATAGAGAGCCAAATGATTTTGCTTTCATAGTTACATTATATCCAAAATTTAAGTCTCTTTCTGGCTAATGTTAACATTTTTTATAAAAAGATTTTTTTTCCACGTCGTAAAATTTCCATAACATTTTTGTGGATAAGACAAAATGGTATAAGAAATACTAAGATTTTTCCTATACATAGATAGATAGATAGATATGAAGAGAATAAGATAGATAGATAGATAGATAGATAGATAGATAGATAGATAGATAGATAGATTAGATTAGAATAAAGTTTTATATTAAAAGGAAGTCCGTTGTAGAATTCTGACCAGGCCAATATCAAAAGCTATCGCCATTGTTTGTGTTTTTTGACAAAATTATTTTTGCTTAGCAAATATCTAAAGCATACACCCACTATAAAGTGATGGTTAACATGTTGAACTGATTGAATACACATTTTTAAACATTTCACCCCCAAGCAAGGCAATAAAGTCACTAAGACGCAAGAGGTTAATGAGTGTGAGAAAATAGGAGAAAACCAAAACATAATTAACCTTTTCAAATCCCTTGAGACATATGTGTCCCACAAATGTTTTCTCATGTCCTGCGGGACACAATTGTCCCCAAAACGCATTGATATGGAATAAAGAGAACATAGTGTACCATTGCTATATTTATAATAATACATTTAATAATATTATTTTTCAAAGTCAAAGATATGTCTAATGAAATGACCACTATTTTTATATATACATCTATTATGCGAATATGGATCTGAAATGGTTAAATAAACCAAGAAAAGTTGAGACGTTAAATTAACAAAACCAAGCAAAATCTTTGAAGACGAGAAATTGTGAAACAGATAAAACTAATAAAATGGTTGGAATTAATTTAATGTAAATCCATCTGGATATTGGAAATCAGAAGATATCTGTTTTCTTAAAATGGTAAGATATTTAATAGCTGCACGGTTGATCTAGTAACACTTTTGGCAGTTTATGAAATATACTAACGGTATCCTCTACAGGGTGGCAAGACCCACGATAAAGTGAGAATCATCTGGGTGGATACTTACAGACTCCATTATAAACATAACCTCTGTCTACCATTTCCACTCGAGTGTAAATCAGAACTATGTCGAATTTTTTGTCTAATATAAAAAAGGAACTTATCTATAAATTTACATATCTATAAATCTATTGTGTATTTTGTCTAATAAGACTTCCATCTTAACCCATATCGAGTCCCCTGGAACATGTCACCCACAAATGTTTTCAACACGTCCTGCAGGACATAATTGTCCCCAAAACGCATTGATATGGGATAAAGTGTCCCATTGCTATATTTATAACAATACACTCAATAATATTGAGGAAGCACGGTGGAGTAAGCGGAGTTCCGAGTTCGAATTCCAGTCGAATCCATTACATTCACTTACGTGCTAATACCATTGGGAAAGGTGTGAATTCTCTTTTTCTCCCTCCATTGGGTAAATAGCAGGACAGACTGGGTTCTATAGCCTTGGATGGAAAATGGTCTAAGAGAAGGACAACTCTGAATTCAAAACCTGTGGAGGGTCGTTTGGGGACCTTGTGGCACGTAGTGCACCAGGTCTCTGTATTCAGCCCTTCAAAAAGTGTGGATGGCCCTGCACGAAACCTTCACCACTATAATCATGTGCTATACATGCGGGTTGGGGACCGCTTGTGAATTCCAAATTTCCATGAAACCAAAACAAGCTATTCTCACTTACTATTCTTACTGCAGTCACCATAATGCCTCACAGTCTCTATGTAGCCCTAATATTGGAGCCGGCTCAACCCACCCCGGGTGAATGCCGTTACAAGAACAAAGAAGACTCAATAACATTATTTTTCGAAGTTAAAGTCATTTATATGAAAGGAACAATAATATCAGTCTACTGAAAGGAACAATAATATTTTTTGCCGTCTACATCAATTACGCCAATGTAAAAGGGTTAAACGAAGCTTTAATTGCTAAACACATAACAAGATTTAGTCATTTGTGATCAAGCATTAGCGCAGTCAACATCTTCCACTTGTTTTCCTGAGGTACATTAAGTAAATGCATGGCAATGGCTAAAAACTTGACAGGGTTTGAACGTGGAAGAATTGTCGAGCTGCAATAGCAAAGGTCTCTCTCGACGTGAGGACAGTGAAGAAGACTTTCCTAACAATGGGTCAATTATATCTACAAGGAAGTGACTCAAAGGGTGGTACAGTAGTCCAAATAATGTAAATAGTGTACATAATACCTCATCTCAGAAATATAGACAGATAAGCCTTTCGAGTACCCTGGGACATGTTTCCCACAAATGTTTTCAACACGTCCTGTGAGACGTAAATGCCCCCCAAAAGCATTGATATGGAATAAAGCGGACATAGTATCCCATTGCTATATTTATAATAATACATTCCATTCAATAATATTATTTTTCGAAGTCAAAGTCATTTAGATATGTCTACTGAAACTAACAATAATATTTTTTGCTGTATACATCAATTACGCGAATATGGACTTGAAAGGCTTAAGAAGAGAAAACAATAAAAGAACAGGAACTGGAAAGACAGAAGATAATGATCGACATTGCATTTAAACTTTTAGCATCAAACTTGACTGGAAAACAAGAAGCCAGAAGAGTGTTCTACAGGCGAGAAAATAAACTGTTAGCATAAACATTACGATTATTTGCAGTTGTTTCAACTGTAAAAATGACAAGACCTTGTTGCCAATCTAATACTGCACTTAAATTCATAAAGTCCACGTACCATAGAGGAATGTAATATTTATTTTGAATAATACAAAAATGTGGCACAAGGCCAAGAGAGGAGATAGAGGGAAAGCTGATCTTCAATCTGTCTTATCTTAAACTTAGCTAGCCACAATTACTGACTCAAACATACCACAATATTCCTTACACCAAAACAAGATATTCTTACTTACTATTCTTACTGCAGTCACCATAATGCCTCACAGTCTCTATGTAGCCCTAAATAGTTCCCATATGTACAATTTGTACCATAGAGGAATATCATCGAAAAATTACCATGAAGGTATTTATAAAAAAAAAAAAAAAAACAGGGAACTTACCTTACGGCGGTGGGAAAGCGACTGAAGCCGATGTTCAGATGATCGATGCCGATCAAGATCTTAGATTTTAATACGCAAGTCCGTATGTTCGTAAAAGAATTAGTATATAAAATTTTTCGTAATAGAATTAGTAGTAACCAAACGATGTTATAGATATCTTCAGGATCATCATCATTGTCCTCATAATCATCAGTCCCAAGACAAGGTGTGACTTGAACAAAAAGACTTGGTCAAGCGTCAGCCAATGTCATCCAACTTGAAAGCTCGCCTTGGTGACAGACACGTGGCCGTTGATTTCCATCAGCGAAATCCTTCACCCTGGCCATTGACTTCAGGGTAGGAAGCCCTCTGATCAGCAATGCTCAGTCACCACCGCATTGCTTGCTGCACGATTATCTATAGAGCGAAATTTACCCTCATTGTACTAGACCTCCCCAGAAAGTTCGTCCGCCATTTAACAAGTCTTGTTTTTAATATTTTGGGGTGCCTACCCACTCTTCAAACCAGGAAAGCCAGACAGGAGATAGCAGGAGTAGATAGGTTTGCTATTCACCTGGTTCAAACTCCTCCCCGATCTCTTGAACAGGAGTAGACGCTTACACATTGTTTCCTGATTAGGATTGGGTTTCCTGTTCATTCATGTTATATAGGAATAACGTGTCGCTGACGACACTTGAGTTTGAACATAGATCTCCAGTGAGCAAACACAGGCGATCCCATTATTGAATTAAGTAGACCATGTGACCATAGAGGAAACGCATATATGCTAGGTAGCGTGACGTCTAAACAATCGTCATTTCTAGTCTATCCTCTTTTACTATACGGATCACTATTTTTAAACTATTGTACCGCTATTCACTATACTATTTCTCTATTCGGATCACTATTCGGTGATTACTATTCGAGCGAGTATTATCGAGCAAGTACTATTAGTGTGAGTGTTATTCAAAGGCGTCTGACACCAGTATTGTTCAACGGCGTTACTCTAGTTGTATCTGCGATTACAGAGTCTCTACTACAACGAACATTATGAAAGTGACAACGAGTATTCGTTGACATTACAAAAGTGGCAACGGGTGTTCGTTGACATCTCAAAAGTCAGTTAGGCCCGCTTTTGTGAATATAAGTTAATTTCCAAAATATGAAACGAAATATAGCATTAGCTGCATGATAATTCCTACTTATTTAAATATTCTGATATTAATGTAATACGAGACATGTTCACTTATTGGATCCTAGTAATGCCTCTTATAACGGAATATCTAACATGTGGAAATCGATCTGTCTGAAGGATAAATACATATAGATTCATATTGTGTTTAAATTTATTGAAGGAAAACTGACAGAATCAGAAATATATTGATATAAATAACTACATTGACTTGAAACATTACAAGACTGATAGTAAAGGGAATTGTATGGGAATTAGCGTGGCGTATAAGTGATCACTATTTCTAGACTATCCTCTATTACTATGCGGATTGCTATTCTCTATACTGATCACTATACTATTTTTCTATACGGATTACTGTTTGGATCACTATTCGCTGGTTACTATTCGAGCGAGTATTATCGACCAAGTACTATTAGTGCTAATGTTATAACAAGTCTTCTAACACCAGTATTTTTCAACGGCTTTACTACAGTTGTATCTGCGCTTACAAAGTCTCTACTACGAATGAGCAAGATGAAAGTGACAACGAGTATTCGTTGACATCACAAAAATTCTAAAGTTTTTTTTTCTCTTTTAATTAATATAGACCCTTACGTCTCGGTTGCTTTATCACATAATTTCGGGTGATGCCGCTTACTCTGTAACGCTCTACCTTGACTGGAACTTAGGCCTTGTACAGAATGAAATTGTAATTGTAAGATCCGGTTTATATGTGAATTAATTGATGTCTTCTACGTTTTATCAAAGCTTTTCAAGGTTGCAAGCTCAAATACCTGTAATATTTTATACCTATTTATTTACAATTCGATGAACAAACCTAAGTTTGCATAATTAATTCCAACCCCACCAGATAATTCACTGCAAATATTTCTAATAAAATACAAATACTGAAGGTTGTCATTTTCATGGCATATGTCATCCGAGTCTAAATCTACCCTGAAAATGGTGTCAGGTCACTAAGTGTGTTACTAGTACGATGTACCCTACTACTACTTGTGACACGGCTTACGGCCATATCACTTTGAAACACCGGTTTTCGTACGATCAGCAATGTTAAGCAACGTCGATCCTGGTCAGTATCAAGATGGGTGACCGCTTGGGAATACTAGGTGCTGTAAGCTTAGATGTGCGGGTGGTATAATAGATAATGGCTCGGAATTATTAATCAGAGATCCGGGTTCCAATTCCTGTTGGATGCGTTATATTTATGTACAAGGTATGAATCCACCTTTTCTCACACCCCCTCCCAACTATGGGTTACTTAAAAAGGCTTGTATCACTAAACAATTATTATCTACCTCCCGCCCCCCACAAAAAATCTACAAATACTTTCAGGATTTAAATAACTTTCAAATGATTGATAAGACGTAGAAAACAAACCATCAATCGATCAAAACCAGTAATGCTACTTCATTTCGCTTTCTCTTTACATTGTTGTAAGGTATACACTTTGCACCGTCCATTAAAATTTATTTTAAAGCTGGAACGTTTTTGTTATCACAATACGGTCCAGTAGGATTTTTCTTACATACGCTATACGGAAGTGACACATCAAAGCTACTAACACGACTATACTGATGCAAATGATACCCATCGCTTGATTTCGGTATTTTTGGTCATTTTCGCCGTCTTTCCCTTATAACATTGGTTTTCTTTTACTAAGAGCCACTCAAGGTAAAGTGTTACAGAATGAGGTGGTTATATGAACTTAAGAGGTGGAGGTAAGAAGTGCTGATTATGAGAATATTTAAGATAGATAGCGATTGCACCTAGCCATGAAGAGGTTGAGACTGGCGCGATCGTGGAAACATCTTCTGTTTCACAAAGTTGCGGTTCTTGGAAATAATCTGTGTGTATGGAGCTACCTTCTTACTCATGGAATACAAAAGGAAATGGGGAAGATTCGACCCTGTGTACGCGGCATGATGGGTCTTAGCTGTGAACTTTACTAACGACTTCATCTGATCGTTGTTAACTCTAACTGATTTATGCAGCTATGGAGTATTGTTCGGCGAGAAATCTCCAACTT